AAAATACGAAAAATCCCCTTAAAGTTAAAAAACGCAATTTTAGCGTGGAGCTGGTGGAATACAAAGAAAAAAAAGGCTTGGAGTGGAAAGGGTTAAGTCTGCACACAATGAATTTATTTAATTTGCTAATGTATTAACTTTACAAAAGTGAAATTAAATCAAAATTGTATTTTAAATAGATTTTCATTAGCACAGACAGCAAGACAGATATAAGTACTTAAAATTCAAATGACAGTTTCTATTTTATAAGAATAATTCCTTTTTATTTGTTTTATCTTGCACCAAAGTAGTTGAAGTACACATATTAATATAATTTTCAGTTCGTTTCAATAGTACTTAATGAAAATGTATGAATGAATGAGTATATTTTTTTGCATTATACAATATAGGAAATAAGCAATGCAATTTACAAGCACAACGATATAAATGTATAAGTACAGTAAGGCGGTCTTATTACTGAGCGTAATCTTTTCAAGACAACCTTAAGGTAATGGACTAATTGTTGTATAAGTAGGTATGATAGTACTGTAAAATTAAGAAAGAATCTTTTCCAAATTAAAAATATATAAATAATGCAAACGTAACAAAGTTTTGTTGAAATTGTCACAGAAAAACTATTTGAATGCAATTAAATAAAATTGTAGCATTCAATAAATTATATTGTTAGAGGTTTTGTAAGCACACACACACACGCACACGCAGACGCACACACACACACACACACACACACACACACACACACACACACATATATATATACACATTTTTTTTAATATAATAACTAGCGGTTTAACTTACGTGTAATAAGATCGAGAAAATTCGACTAGTTTCGAGATCTTTTGCTTATACCTAGTACAATATAATATTATCTATGTTTATACTAATAACCATACATTGCATGCAATAAGCAATAACAATTTATTAATTACTCTTCTCCATCCAAAGATTGCCTGGAAGAGATCGCTCGTAGCGATAAGACCGCCCATTGTTTTCTTAGTGTAATATTTTCTTATAATTGTTTGTATTTATAATAAATTTACTATTGTAATCTTATGGAGGAAACAATAAAGAGTATCTATCTATTTATCTAATAAATCTGCTAACTCAAACAAGCCAAGAACGTTTTGTTTTCATTTTTTATTTGTTAAAGATCTTTAATGCGGCTAATTATACTATAATTGGGTGTTACATCAGTGATAATTACATTTGAATTCAGCAAATTTATTTGTTTACTTTCAATGTCTGTTAATGTCTGTAAGTATACTCGTATGTGGTTACGTCATAATTTTTTTTATGAATTTTAAACGTTTTCATGTGAGTTTAAATTATAGGGCAATATTAGTTCAATAAAAAATAAGTTAGAAGCATTAATATGATAAGAAAATTAATATCGTATTTAATCTCGATTTTTAAAAAATCTAATAGTTTTTTTTTTTTAATAATATGTAATGTATGTTACTCGGTGATAATGTAGCTTTCTCTACAAGTAAAGGAATTTTCAAAATTAGTTGTTATTTTTTCTAGCTTTGATGATTTTATTTTTTGTATATTTGTATATAATGTATCCATTATATATAAACATACAAAAAATAAAATAATTTCTTTTTTTAATATTAGTATAGAAAAAATATGACTACTGTATTGGTATCCTATTAAGGTATATAATGGATATCATAATAAGAGATATGTCAATTATTTAAAAAAAATATTTTTCGCATTCATTTCAGTTCGCTATCAGATCTATTTTTAAATAAAAATGAAGCAGTAGTATACAATTGTTTAAGTTATTTTTTTTAAATCGACAAATAATACAAACGATGCCATATTTCAATACCAATGCTTTCAAAAAAAGTAATGCCTGACAATATGCTATTTTTTTTATATTCTTGTGAAATGCGTTTTCATTCCTTTTATGTATTGAATTTTTATGACGTGGCTCGTGTAAATTTGACCAACGCAAAAGTTTTCGCTATTTCGGCGCCGGAATAATTCGACCTTATGCCAACCATACTATTTCACATCGCGCACAACGTCCTGAACTCATCATAGGGGCCATCTAGGGTTGTCGACAATATTTAAAAAGCACCCAAGTATTCGTAAGAATAAAAACAAGTGAATTATAAATTTTCGCAGTATAAGTGCCGAATGGTTAACACTAAGCTCCGAGCAACTAATAACTTGCCTAAAGATGCTTCGTTTAGAGGTGAATCACGTGTCGCAAAACGTGAGTGAACAAAATGGCAGGCGGGGATTGACGGTAAAATAATTATGAATTTGTTTATATAGATTTACTCGAATAATCAGTAAGCTAAGGTGACCATACAAATTAAATAGCACGGAATCGTACCTTATGGGAGTCTATGGAAAAGGCCATAAACTATGATGAAGGCTAAAGCTAAAATGATATTTATGACACAAAAATAGTCGCAGTATTAGGAATAATTGATTCATACGAACCACACGAAGACAGTTTATTATTTCACTGATTTTTCATGAAATATCTTTATTTAATAAATGGTATTTATACAATAGTGTACGTCAAGAGTGTACGATTGAAGAGAGAGAGATACAATATTTATTATACATATGGTCTGTCCTTCTTTTTCGGACGTTATTAGTAGCCATTGTATATTATCTATACAAAATTTCATAACTTTTTAAATTATGTTAGAAACTAACTTCAATCATTAATCAAACACTTGAATGAGAATACTTTAATTTTGTAATAAACGAGCATATTATGCTACATTTTTTTTATTAATTAATGAAAAAAGCATATTCATTTTCATTTTATTGTCAACCCTAATCCTGCAGCACGATCCACTACGCAATCAGAAGAGAAACAGTCCCGACGTAGATAAAATTTACGAAACTGGAAACTCGCAATGCCAAACAAAGCTGACTGTGCAACTGTTACCAAGTAAGTACTTTTACTTTTTTTTTCTTAGTCTACACTAATTGCCAGTATCTGGTATTTTGTTATGTAAACTCCTTTAATTTGGGGGGAAAGGGATTGTTAGTAATGGAGACTGAGAATCCCATTGCTAGCAATATACCGCGAGCAGGGCGACCTCCTCGCGGTCCTCTCTTGAAACTATCATGGTTAATTCCAGATGAATTCATCATGATAGGCTAACTGGTCTGTTTTCATTTTCATCAATCACCCTTCACTGGTGCTCCGCCAGCGCAGTTAGCGCAGGCGGGGTTACCATACCATTTTCACTCATCAAAAAAAAACTTTTAATTCCCTTTGCAAAATTAGGGGCGTCAAAATTTAAATTCTTTATTTGGGTAACTGTGTGTGGCATCATAGTTTTCAAACGGATGGACCTACATCCAATTTGTTTTTCTTTTTATTTGAAGAATAATTGAAACATGTTTTAAGGTCTCAATAGACATATTTATAGGTTGAAAATAGTGGAGATTAAACTATCTATATTGGTTAGCACCAGAGATACATACCTATCATTTTAAATATTACAACTAAAACCTCGAGTTTGGAAAATAATGGTTTATTTAACAAACATACATATTAATTCATTGATATATCCAAAATTGAATAAAAACAGATTATTATAGGGGGAGGGGGGAGGGGTAATTTATGGTAAAAAAAATTATTAAATTTAAGGGGTAATTAATGGTAAAAAAAATTATTAAATACTTTAATAATTTTTTTTTACCATAAATTTTCAGCGTTGTCCTTACTATTTATCGTAGATTTTTATGTCTTTGATTTATACAAAGTAATAAATTTAAAATTTTTGTATTATCGATTTTTTACTAATCTATACCTATATTGTTGATATTCTAAATAAATCTATTTTTTTAAGAACCAAGTACGGTGTTGTTGTTACGTTTCTACCTAACAATAGTGTATGTACTTTAATAAAAAAGAAAAAACATAAAAGAAATAACACAATCCGTAATTCACTGTTTCGCAAGTAAACACAGACACAGGTAAAGAAACTTTTTCCAAATCACAAACACTGGCCGGTTACGACGGTTAAAAATAAAAATGTAAAAATCTTAAAAACAAAACATTAGAGTAAAACACTGTTTCCAGCCAGTTCGAAATTAATTTGTTTACTTTAAAACGGAGTTTTGTTTGTTTAATTCACAATGTGGTGAGGTCACTTTTTTTAAGACGTAAACGCGTGCACTCCTTACGTACAGAGTTTAACTACTGATTCATTGAGGTTATGTTGGCTAATGCATACTGTACTGTAGATTATGGAGGGTAAACCGGCGTGACGTGAGAATCATTATTTAAATAGGTATCTACTATAGACGTGTAATTAATATGTTTCATTTATGTGTTAAGTTTGATTTTGTATTATTCTTTGAAAGTGATTTAAAATTCTTACAGCTTATTTTGTATACACCTCAACTATATTCGTAATTTCGTAGGTCGTTACTAATCATATCGCGCTAGTATAGGTAGTACCCATCTACTAGTACATATTGTTATACTTAGTACTTTGAATAACAGTTGGAAAGCATACCTACTTACGTTAATTTCGTTTTGTATTCAGGTTTTCTTTTATTTAAAAAAAAAGTAAATCTAACGATAATATAACAAAAAAAAAACTGGATTCAATATTTATTTAATGATAAACAAATATATACCTACATTAACTTGCTCAAATAGTATAAAAACAAAGTATTATTAGAATTATGTACTGGTTATACATATATAGGTAAGTACTTTATTATCAACATAACCTTGTAGTTCAATAATTATGACATAATGTATAACATATAACTAACAATACCTTACATAATTTGTATTGAAGAAGTAAGAATACAGAATAACTACTACTTTTCTTTTTAGGATATCCTAAGAGGTGTCTAAGAGCATCAATCGTCAGTACAAACAGAAAACCAGCAATAAAACTTTATACCAAGCCATTTGGTCGACTTAGAAATAGTTGATTAGAATCACCAATTTATAGAGGAGACCTCTACCTAGCAGTGAGACATTAATGAGCTATTTATCTTACCTGTTCTTTGTCTTCTTGCGACTTTGGCCAAAGCGTGACATTCAAAACGATCTCGCCCATATCCTGATGGGGCTTGTTCTGATCCCGAAGGCACAGCACCAGGTCTTGAGAACGGCCCAGCTCTAACGCGGTCAGGTCTATTTGGCAGGAACCCATGAAATCGTCTTGAAGACCCCAGTCGTAATCGAATACCTGTAAAAGATAAAACCTTTTTATACTGTTTTCAACAAAGCAAGTACATTTTGCTTTAGAATAAAGAAAATTTAATCGTGAACACACACCCAGACACACGCTCACATGTACAGGCAACCATGCACACTCATACTTACACATGTACACAGATCCACGTACACGCACACGCACACATACACTTGCATTCACTCTCACACAGACACACACACACACACATGCACAGTCGCACTTACATACACAAAACCAATAATAAACGCGAGATATTTGAAATCTATACAATTTTGCTTCGCAACATGTAATTTTTACTCCGTAAAGAAAAACAGCTACAATTTCACAAAACTAATACGAGACCACGGGTACACGTCACAACTACTAGTAAAACCCTTTAGTAAGGGGAGGAACTATATTTAGCAGTGAACAGTCAAAAGATGATATGATGTATATGAGGACCAATTTGGAAATAAACTCCATCAGTATAAAATCAGCGATACAGTTTAAAAAAAAAATCAGGTAGAAATCACCTATATTAAAAACCTTATTCTTTTATAAGTTGCTTTATAAAACGAATGAATATCTGTCTATTTTTTCTTTGTATTACAAATTCCTGTGATAAATTTAACAGTTTCAATTGTAACCTATAAAACCTTTAAAACTAGGCCTTGTACAAACTCCCTTTTAAATTGGTTAATGAATGGGGCACTCGAAAAGATTAAATGGCATTCGGATACAGGAAATTTAGTGTTGCCCAATGAATGGATATAACAGTCGATTATGTACTCGACTTTAATTATAGTATATTTCAATTGAATTTAATAAAAATGTAAACAAAGAAATAATTGACCCGATCATAAGACAGCATTCTGCTGTCCATGTAGTACAAATAAAAAAAAAAAAATAATTGATTAAATGTTTTTGTGATAATTTTGACAGAACTTAGATACAACTAGATAACATGGATAGCAAGCACTGAAACTACTCTTAACGACACATAACTTTGTTTTGAAGTTTCTAGCCACATAATCCAAATTATCAATACATACAACCAACCATCAATGTAGCTATAATTGGATCAATTATAATCATTCGTTGTATACACGTATATATAATATTATATACATAATCGATCAAATTACTTAACTCTTCATACGAAATTGTCGATTCCGAGATGCCTCTAAATATATCTTTAAAATTAGGGTTTTAGTTTGATACATATTATAGCGAAATCATCATTTTGAGGATCAATATGATCTAAATTTCTAATAGATTTAAGTTAATATCATTATAAATTTACTTTATGATAAAGGTTCTTAAAAAAGTTGCAAAATTATCAAATTAAAATATTAGAGATGGATTTAGAATAATGGGGCCTTAGAATCGAGTCCATTATCGATTTATTGATAATCGACAAGTAGACAGCACTAGCGAGGATGGGACACATTTGGTTTGAAGACACTATGTAACACTCCAAATGTCACGCCACAAATAAACTCGACATTTCGATCTAATTATCAGTTCATTTATGTACGAATAAATTTAATGTAAAACTATAGTTATATTTTATATCTAATATCAGAATTTGGATGTAATGACTTTGATAGATGAAAAAATAAGTAGTAAATAATTATAAATAATCATGAGCCTTGACTGAGAAAATTATAATAAAAATCTATTATATCTATGTAATAATTTTATCCAAATTTGTTCACCTATAAAGAGTACTGAAAACTCCTGTTTGAAATTGTTTAAATATATAAATATTCTTATCTTAAAGTATCTTTTTTTTTAAAGAATTTTTTTTATACCACGAAGGTGGCAAAGAAAACAGTCCGTCTGATGGTAAACGGTCACTGTAGCCTATATACGCCTGCAATACTAGGGGTGTCACCTGGGCGTTGCCGACCCTGAATAACCCTTTGAAGAACCGCATACTGTAATCTTTAGGGAAAACCTCGGCAGGGAGCTTATTCTACATCCTGAGCATTCCCGGGAGAAAATTCCTTTAAAACCGCACTGTACGCGACTATTTACATTCAAGCATGTGAGCATGAATTCCCTGTCGATGACGAGCGGTGCGATGATAAAAGGTGGCTGTGGGCATCATTTCAAACAATTCCTCAGAACACAATCCGTTACACAAGCGGTAGAACAAAGGGAGGTAAAGTCGTCTTAGGCTAGAGCTTAATACCGCCTGTGTTGGATCTTGCTTGAGAGTGTCATCAAACAACTTGGTGGCCCACTTGATGGAAAGTAGCAATCGTTACCTATAGACATAGAGCACACCATGAACATTGCAAGATTTACTCTAACGCCTATGATATCCTTTATACGTTGTCATTTTTGAGGGTTTATATATATGAACAAGTATACATTATAAAAACCTGTTAAAAAACGAACTTACCTTCAACTGTACAGGTTGAAACGGATCCTCAATGGGCACAGTAAAGCATTCATCCCAAACGGGATTAAGGTCTCTGTACACGATCCTTGATTTATGCAGCAAACGACCTCCAACTTTGAACTTCACGTAGGGATCGCTGGTGCCTGACAACAAACCTGGTTTTGGACCCCACCAAACATTTAAGTTAGAAGAGGAAGAAGCAAACATAAAGTAAGAAAGTAACACTACAAATTATACAGCTATAGATGTCTAGGTCTCTTTCTCTCGCCTCAAATTCGATTTTTTTTTTTATTCCCTATTACCATAGAGTACTTATTCAAACAACTTTATCTGCTTTAAATATTTGTTCTTAATTACTGAAGCTACAATTTTAACGATTTAATCTGTTCTATGTATAATTAATTCTGTTTGAATATAGATAACTACTAAATCCCTTTCTTTGACTTTATCTACATAACAAATTAGATTTGTACCTGTTTAAACTTTTTTTTTTAAATCGAAACTACTAGGCGTAAGAACAAAATGTACCTAACGCTTTTTCTGTTAAAATAGTGATGTTACAATCTTTTATTCGAATTGAGAATAATCTTTGATATTTTGTTCTCAGATATAGTGGAATATATACATATATAAGTGTATATATATGTAACTTTAACAAATATAGTTAATTACATACGGCATAACCAATTAAATACCTGTGTTATGATTATATTATAATATTTATATCAATATGTTTGTACCTTATTATTATTTTGACCATATTAAGTACAACAGAAAAGGCGTAGAATTAATTACATACTTTTTTAATTGTATGTAATAATGTAAAAGATTTGAATTGTACATGAATGTACATATAAAATAAATATGTTTTTATATAAAATATTATATTTTAAATGTATGTATTATAATTTATTCGATATACTTTAAAGCAGAAGCGCTAGTATGCAAGAGAAACAAAATATAACATGCAAATTATAAAGATAAATATTCAATAAAAAGTATTTTAATTAATTATAAAAAAAAAAGTGTTGATCATGTGTGAGTGAAGTGATGTGAGTGAAATGATTTCTCTTTTTAAATTTATAATATTATATATTTATTTATATACGTAGCAAAATATTAGTGTACAAAGTAAACTATAATTATGTATAGCTTAAAAGTAAAGCACGGTGACATATAATCAGTTGGTGATTTTAATATACGTAAGTACATAATTTACACTGATGGTGCTTTATTTATTTTCGAAGCAATAAGCCTAAAGTTCACGCTTAGTTAAATGACCACAAAGTTATCATTACGTCAAATAACTAGGTAGACGTGGAGGTACTTTTACCATACTTTTATTTTCTTTTATTTAGTTATTATATTTTTGCCCGCTTCTTCGTGCCTACGGATTTCAGAAGTAGGAATGAAATAAATCATTTCTAGATAGTGTATCAGAACAAAACATATATTATTAAGTTCCAACTTCAGAAACATAATATTAAAAACCGCATTCAATTTGGTGTGGTTTTGCGTGATACCAGAACAAACATTCAGGTTGATAGATTTTCAGTGATTTATTATCGGTAGTAATAAAAAGAATTAAATTCCTAGCGTTTTTAAAATTTATTATGAGGCTTTTAGATGTTATTTATTCTTATACTACCATCTATATTGTCTTATTATTTTTTAACTTAGAAAAAATACATATATCTATTGAAGTGAACTTAGATTTAAACAATTTTATTATTTTTTTTTTATTATTTTGTCTCATTTTATTGCCCATTCGGAACTCAATTTCAATTAAGATAGCCAGTTATAAAAATTGCCACAATATGCCATAAATACCTGCAAAATTATATATTATTTTATAGATTTTATGAATGACTTTTTTTGCTTTTCAGTGCTGCAATAGCGTTTTATTGTGTGTTCAGTGTTTGTAGGTGCGTGTAATCATCTATGTCATAGATTCTATGACATATAACCAAACTCACCGTTCTTGTCCATAGCTACTAAATTTTGGCCTCTCTTCAAATGTATTCTAAATTGGAAGAACGCATGTTGCCTGAGTTGTTGCTCCCTAAGTTTCTGACCTTCGTCTGGTTCCTGGAATAAAATGAGACGTTATTCACACAAATACTCAAAGATATATAAAAAGAATATTCATTATTTAGAAAACGGCAAGAAAAAACATAGGTAACATAATTAATCAATCCGAGTGATGGAGGTAGCCTCGCCTCCTGTCACGTTAGATTCAGATAATTATGCTTTCAAGAAGAATCGCGGAAAGTCGACTGAACAGGGTATGCTGCTAGCAATGGAACTGGTAGTTGTAGGTTATGAATGTACCTATTTATTTTTATTTATCAAGAAAACCCTACAGCCAGCGTCTACCCACGAGACGATCTATGACAATGAAGCAAGACATATTTCAAAGGATCTTTATGTTTCTGTACTTACTTCGTTAGAGGCCTGGAGAAAATATATTAGAAATTATAAATATATAAAATAAAATATAAATAAATATATGTAGATAGGTAGTCATAATTTAGTGTGAATGACAAGTCACTAAATTATATTAAATTTAAATGTACGTATTCAACAAATGATGAAGTGATGAAGTATCAATGCAATTCTTCAATTCTTTTAAAGAAAAAATTGCCCTAATGTCAAAGGTTAACCAGTAGGTACATATTTAATTTCGATTAGCGCCTAAAAATTTTTCGTGAGCAAAATCTAAGCAGCAACTATTGATTTTGCTATGTAACAGGCGTTCTTAAAGTTATAACGGCACGCCTTCGGCTTTTATATTTAGGCTGTTAAAGCAACTTCCTCGAACCTAAAACTCTAAATTTACTAAACTTTTGTTGAGATTAGAACTTCAACAATGATCACATTTATTCCGTGTGTTGAGTATATGTAGATTCTTAGGTAGATACATATATACCCAGTTAATGTAGATACATAAGTATTGTTAAAGATGGCGTCTTTTCTAAGAACCGCCATTTAAGATAATACCGTATTTACCTATCTTTGCCGAGACTACAATGGCTGTGTAGGTTTCATTATGGATGTCGCAAGCTTAAATCCCTGTTAGAAACAGATTGAACTTTGCAACTTTTCGATTAGAAATGTGTCATATCTAAGTATGACAATTTTCGTCTTTTTTATGGAACTTGGGATGACAAACGAGCTGATGTCTTTTTTTTAAATGGATTCTAAAAAGAAGAAAGTTTTCAATTTCATTGTATTTTTATAAACAGTTTTAGAAATTTCTTTCTTTGTATGAAAGGATATACTTTCAGATTGGTGCCATAGAAATTTTATCAAACTCGATTCGATAGTTTGATTTTTAAATGAAAATAACTTAATTTTAGCTAAAATTAAAGTCTGCTCTTTTGTGGACCAATAACTACTTTTAAAATAGTTACAATTATTAGCTTAGGAGTATTGTTAAATCCATAATCACAAATTTAGTCTACCAATTATTTTTAATTTATTGAATTTCTTATTAGGGCAACCAACAAGACACTCAGTATGATTACAAATCAAGCAAATAGTTCAGGTATGTCAGTGTTAACTTAATGACTGGTTACCACGACATACATTTTATTTTTTAGAAGATTTTTTCTACAAGAAAAACCAAATCTTTATTTTAGTCAAAATAACATAAAAAGAATAAAATTTATTTAGACTTTATTATTATTCACAATTCTAGTTTGTAAATATGTAATGTCATTTAAAGGTGAGTCTGTTCGTTACGTCTTCGCTAATTGTCATTAAATTTAATACATTATTTAGTAGTTGTTATTAAAGGGGAGTATTTCAATCGAAGCATTTGGCATTCCATTGTCTACCTATCCTAATTGGAGACAGACGTGACAGATATGTATGTATGTATTTGGAATGAATAATTAACTATTTTTTGTTTTTGTTAATTAGTTTATTCTAGGTACTCTAGCGAAGTCGCGGATAAAAACTGGCATGGTAATAATGAAGTCCTTATAGTGTCTAATCAAATAAATTTTGAATATTTATAATATTATATATAGTTATTGAATTTTTATGATATTTAAAAAAAGGCAGTAAAATTAGTAGATGATTATCGGCAAAAGTGCTTATGAGCCGTTAAACAGTACAAGGTGCAATGTAACTTTTATTCTGTTTTTAAATTCGTTTCATGCTTTTTTTTTATAACACAAAAATACCAAAAAAGCATATAGTCCGTCTGATTATAAACGGCCATTGTAGCCTATGAACGCCTGCAACACTAGGATTACTTTCCTCTAAAATCAGATATAATAAAGAAAGTATGTACTAAGAAAAAAATTTTCTGTACTGTAATTGCAATCAACAGCTTTACTCAGTCAAAAAGGAAATAGCTAGCGCCTCGTCTTTTTAAAATCACTTAGGAAGCACTTTGCTTCCTCTCGCTCGCCCCTTCAATGTTACATGGCCGTCAATTCCTTATTTCTGCCCTCGAAATTAATACACTTACTATTCTTGCTGACTCTGACATCTACAAGTACCTATTTCATCATAGAATGATATAATAATAGTCTTATAGATTTTTTTTATACAACTTAGAATGGCACACAAGCTGACGGCCCACCTGATGGAAAGTGGTAAGTATACCCTGTTATGTCCATGGTACTGCTCATGTCTATAGGCGACGGTTACTAATTTCCATTAGGTGGTCCGTCAGCTTGTTTGCCATTCTAAGTTGTATAAAAAAAAGATAGAAGGACAAATTTGTATTTTATATTAGCTTTAATACACATTTTTAGGTATCTTGATAACCGAAGTAACACAACTATTATTGTAATATTCGTAGAGATATCTGATTTTATTAACATAATATATAACCTATGTTACTCACTCATAGTGTAGCTTTCTATAGGCGAAAGAATTTACAAAATCGGTCGAGTTCTTTTTGAGTTTATCCATTATAAAAAAATAATCATTTTTTCCTCTTTAAAATATTATTATATAGATAAACAAGTTAATTATTAATGATGATGAGATTTTTCAAAAATATGGATAAAAACGGAATGGTATCTTTGCCTGCGATATATTGGCGGAGTATTAGCGAGTGATGAGAGGTGAGGGTAAAGCTGACTTCAACCTAGATTAGTGATTAATTCGTGGATGTTAACCTAACAGGGTATATGTTACAAATAGACAAATATAGACCAATATTGAGTCGCTTCTTCAATACATATTCATCCCATCAGTCGTTAACTATAGACTCCCCATGAGGGGGGTTTTGCTAGTTGTCACTTTTGGCAAGCGGGTTGGCAACCACAGTTAGGATTTAGTGATGTTTTAATAGAGACACTGCTGTCATTAAGTTTCCTAAGTCGTCACTTACAACACCCATGGGAATGGAAAGGCTGGCCTATTCTATGTCGGTACCACATGGCAGTAATATATAAAAGTATAATTACAACCAAAACACCATTAAACAGTACAAACTAATACTATATAAACAGATTTTATAGAAATATCTGCACGGGTGTGCTGCAGAAATGCAAATTGGCTCATAGCTTAGTGCGGAATATTACTAACGGAGCAAAACACTGACTTTCAACTACAACTGTGAGAATGGGTACGAAATACTAGCAATATACTCAGACTAGCAATAGTGTTGCCAAATTTCATTACTAAAAATTTTTAAATGGGTATTAATGAAATGGTAACCTCACCTGTGCTATCGGTAAACTTTGGCAGGGCACCAGTGAAAGGTGAATATGAAAGCAGATTTCTTAGCCCATTGTGACGAATTCCACTGGAATTAACCACAATAGTTTTCAGGGGGAACCGTGTGGAGGTCGACCTCCACTATGTATTGCTAGTAATGGGGAAATTAGACCCCATTACTAACAATCTCTTTCACACTGACGATGAGATATGTCTATGAACATGTTACCAATTGGAGCAGCTCCGCAGGCGGCGGGCGCGGGTAATGCGCTGGTGTACCCGACGTGGACGGCGCTGGGTCGGTCGACACTTGTCTGCTATTTGATAGGTCTGCGGACAAAGGAATCATCGTCATCAGTCATTGTTTTCATCTTCATTACCATAATTACGTTAATAGTTCAATGCTGAATATGGGCCTCCCCTATAAAGTGGGATTTGCCAGTGCCACATTTAGCAGGCGGGCTGGCAACCGCAGTTAGACTTTTGGTGATGTTTTAAGAGAGACGCTGTTGCCTATCCCTCGACCGTTATCTCAGTCACTTCTCACGACAACCACAGAAAAAAAGGGATGGCCTATTCTATGCCAAGATCACATGGAACGGTCCGCATTATATAGAAATACTTCAATCATATTTTGGACAATGATAACTTAAAAATACCCATTTCAATTATACGTAATGTAGGACGGTAAAAATCCATTAGGCATTCAGTGTGAACGAAATGATTTTTCATCATTATTTGTGTGTATTTTAACCTCTCATTCTGGTCTGTTGGTGCTAATGCTAGATTGGAGCTTAAACAGGCTAGACTTGAAATCTGTTTTAAAATAGAATATAAACTATAGTATGAGGCAGTGGCGTAACTATACCATTTGGGGCCTGTGGCAAATTCTTTTGATGGGGCTCTATCAATAAAACAAAAAAAATATTTTCACGTAAAATAAAATACTCAGGTACAATGCAAAAAAAATCTGAGCTTGCGGCCTCTTGAGCCGGGGCCCTTTTGGGTCGGGGGTCCGTGGCGTTTTGCCAGCCCTGCCACCTTATTGCCACTGGTATGAGGTTCTTTAAAAAACGGATGAAGAGGTTTCATCAGGGCCGGTAATACATGCGTCCCTGATATTACATACGTTCGCATGCTACGGTAACCGCTTGCCATCAGATGGGCAACATGCTTGTTTGCCACCTCATTGTTATAAAAAAAAAAAAATACATTTTTGTGACTTTTGAGACAATCGAATTATCTTTAGGCTTACACATATTGTAAATACACTATCGGGACATAACGCGATAAAAATTTACCTGCAAATCTTTTAATTCGAATTAGAATCGATTGGTCAAATGGACGTTACTATTATATATATTTAATACTTGATTAGACGTATTCGGTGTGTTTCCGATTTGATCTCAAATCGATTGAGCTGGAAATCACCTCCCAGATTTAGCACAGCCGACGTCTATTCCATCATTTAGGTACATACTCGTATATAAAGATTATATAATATTGAACTTAATAGTAATAATATGGCGCTGAGTACTCTTGTGATAGCAATAAAACCCATATGTAGGTATATAATTTTTTTTTAATAAGTGAAAATGACATGTTAATTCTGCTTGCGCTATACTGGCGGGGTACCAATGAGAGGTGTTAGGTGAGGATGAAAAGACAGGTCAGTTCGTCCATCGTGACGAATTTAACGATAAATTAGTCACGATAATTTCCAGGTCCACCACGTGGAGGTCGACCTGATATATTGATAACAATGGTGACTAACCTCCCCATTACTAACAACGTATATAAATTAGTGGGAGTATAAACTAAAATATAGTAACTATATACCAAATACTTTGTGATTTAATTTTCTAACTAGCGATTCACTTGGCTTCATACGGGTAGATGGGTAGAACGATAAATTTAATACAGCCATATTACTCCTTGATACTTTATATTTATGTTCTAAAGGTAAAAGAATTTTTAAAATGGGTTAAGTATTTTTTGTTTATCCGTTACAAATAAACATACAAAAATCAAATCTTTTCTGTTCATAATATAAAATTAGTATAGACTAGTTGGATATACAAGTAAAGAAAATGTAACCTAATCTTTCTTTTACAGTACAAATATATGCAGATTTTTAAGTAATTTTTTTTTTTAAAGTGACGTATTGTATCGTTAAGAGAGTAAGTCTCTCTCTGGTAGACTTTGTACAAAAATTTTTTGCTTGGGCACTTCAGTCCGGATCGTGTTTTTACCGTGAAGCATGGCTGTGTTTCGATTTGAAGGGTGGAATATGGTAGTGAATTAACTGGGTACAGAGGAATAACACCTGAGTCCTCAGGAATGGCAACGCATGAAGGGGGGGAGGTATCATGAGCAAAACAATATACTCTGTTATGTCCATAGTACTGCTCATGTCTATAGGCGACGATTACCACTTTCCACCAGATTATCCGTCAACTTGTTTACCATTCTAAGTTGCAAAAAAAATATCGGTTATAGTTCAAATGTCTTAATATTGACATAATTATTGTTAAGTCGATTTCAATTTAAATTAATTCTTATATTTACGTTATGAAACTAACGACATGTGGTGGCGGTAGTCGCTTACCACTAGGTGAGCAACATGCTAGTTTGTCTCCCGTATTATAAAAAAAAAAGTGGAATAATAAATATTTTACAAAAAAAAAAAAATAAAGCAATTAAATCTTTTCGAAACCGTTTCTCTGTCCTATATATTTTAACTGTTAAATATGAACTAGTTCTAACTGATGTAATTATAGTATTTTGTAGGGCAAATAATATAGAATGTACTACTCCCAAGTTTCATACCCGCCAGCGTATACCGTTAGTGCAGGCGGGGTTACCATTACATTATCATCCATTAAAAAAAAAAAACTACTTCCAACTTTGAGGACCATTCAATAATTACTTCTACTTTGATAGCACTTCACTGTAACAAATGACAAACTAGTTTTGTGAATAGACAACTAAATAACTTGAATTAAGTTTCTTATTACTTGAGAGCACTGTTTGTAGGCAAGTATGTAAGTATAACATTTAAATACTAATAATAGATAATCCTTAATAATATTATAAATTAGTTCTTATCCCCGTGATCGGGATATGATTTTATTAATGATGATAATGGATAACGGATAATGGAATATATATATATATATATATATATATATATATATATATATATATATATATATATATATATATATATATATATATATATATGTATATATGTATATATATATATATATATATATATATATATATATATATATATATATACATTAGATACGTGTATACCAAATTTTATAGTGATTGGTTAAGAGGTAACAAATAAATGGACTCATTTTAACATTTATAATATTAATAAGGAAATAATTGTTTATTTCTTAAACACTATGAAATTTGGTATACACATATTATATGGGATGTAGAAGAACATAGGCTACATAACCATGTCAGGTCGACCTCCATGCGGTCTGCTCTGGTTACTTCTCATTATATTTACTGCGATGGACTAACTGGCTTAGCTTCATCTTAATGGTTTTTCTACTTGTGCTTTGTTATTATATACCATGGGCTCTATTCCATCTTTATCCATTAAAAAACAATAAATTTTCATCAATTTGAATAACTCACCATCTCTTTTTCGGAAAAGGCGCATCTTCCGCCACTTCCTGACGGCCGTCTTAAGTTTCTTCATCAGAACGCAATTCAAGAATGCACTCACAATTCTTCTCCGCCATATTGAACACATTTATCTATTACAGTCTATGGATTGATTGTCTATGGCCGTACCCATCACTATAAGCTAATTGACGTTTGTATAAATATAAAGCCGTCAGCGATTACCATAAAATTCGCATAATTGCCGCCTATCTAAAGCATCTTATACAGCTAGGAAGCTATAAAATCCTCGTCTGTGAAGTTAATGGGTTTAATCTTTTATCAGAGAGGTGGATTATTAAATTCGTTGTATCACAGGATGTCCCTTTAGAAAAAGCTACTGTTAAACAGTTTACATTTATATAAATAATATCACAATGTATTGTCAGTTGCTTCAAGACGCTTATCATTATAATATATTATATACGTATATTTGACAATTACAAGGTACCTTATTCTATTAATAAATTCTTAAATATAGTGTTTTTTACGTAGTAATCGAAATAGTAGATTTTGCATTAGATTCTTTTTCTATAATTACAGCGCCGAGCAATCGCCAAGTCATTATAATTATTGCAAAAATAAAGATGTCTATTATTGATAAAGTCATTACAAATGTTAGAAAAGGCTGATATTGAAAAAGCTTATATTTATTTTAATATAGTAATTTATTGAACCAACACTTTACAGCACACGACATTTTATGTGTACACTTGTTCATTTACAAAAAATGCAATAATTGCCACTTACAAAAAATATTTTTTATATAATAAAAAAAAAAGAAAAATTAACATTGCCAGAAAAAAATATATAATATATTGCGATATCACATCCCATACACATATCACTGTAATTGTTATCAAATATCCGTTGTTCCCTTGAATAACAGGATTTATATATGCTTTTTATCACAAACATTGGATTTATCATTAGAATTATTATAATACAGTATTTACGCTTTGTATACATTTATTTTTAAATGTAGATGGGAGAATAATTCAAACAAAGCCATTTTTCTAATGGGTTATGAAATGGTGACCCAGCCCTCCCTGCGCTATTGGTATACGCTAGCTGGACACCAGTGAAAGGTGAAAGGCGAAGTTAAAAGAGATGATAGGTGACAATGAAAGCAAGTCAGTTGGGCTATCGTGATGTATTCATAAATAATTAACAACGGTGGTTTCTAGGGGGAACCGCGTGGAGGTCGACTGAATCGAATATGGTATTTTGCTAACAATGGAACAGTTAGACTCCATTAATAACGATCACTTTCCGCTCAGTCTGTTATATTTGTCGACTGTTGCCGTTGTAAAGAACATAACACTCGACATGCTCATATTTCTTCGAGCATATGTATTAGAATTCAACATGACAGGAGCAGGGGGGAAGGGATTGTTAGTAATAAAACCCCCCTGGAAACCATCATGCTGAATCCCAGGTGTATTCATCACGATGGACTAAATGACTTGCCTTTCATTCTCATCTATCATACTTCACTGGTGCCCCGCCGGTGTATACCGTTAGCGTGGGCGGTGTATACCATTCCATTGTCACTACTATTTAGAAATAAGTTAAGTGTTTCGAAATTTAAATTAATACCTAAATTTTATTTTTGGACCATAGATAATATAATACTATTTGGACCG